TTCCCCATTCCCCCCCCGCCCACAAACTCCCTAACCCTACGGGATCACCAGTCTCCTTTCTGTCTCTATCCATATACCTGTTCTAGAGATTTCATTGACATGAAATTGTGCTATATGAAGCTTTTTGTGTCAGCTTCTTTCCCTCAGCTTATGTTCTCAAGGTTCGTGCATACTGTAGCAGGTACAGACATTTCATTCCTTTTTATGGCTGAACAATATTTCATTGTGTGGATAATCCTCACTTTTTAAAAAAGTTATTTATTTATGGATGGCTGTGTTGGGTCTTCATTGCTGCTCACGGGCTTTCTCTAGTTGCGGCGAGCGGGGGCTACGCTTCCTTGCCGTGCACGGCCTTCTCATTGCGGTGGTGTCTCTTGTTGCGGAGCACGGGCTCTAGGCGTACAGGCTTCAGTAGCTGTGGCATGCGGGCTTAGTAGTTGTGGCGCACGGGCTTAGTTGCTCCGCGGCATGTGGGATCTTCCTGGACAAGGGATCAAACTTCGTAACCACTGCACCATCAGGGAAGTCCAGTCCTCACTTTTGAAAACTACAAATTTCTCTGGTAAACTCAACTTTCTCTTGCAACTTGTATCCTAACTCCTCTGTATCCCCCCAACTTTTTTTTGGCGGGGAGGCACTGCTTCGGTCTTTTCATTCCACGTATTTTGTGTCTGGGGCTGCAGAAGCAGAGCTTTTGTGCCACTTGAGACCTGTCGCAACCCTCGAAGTACCTGGGTCCCTCAGTGAGCTCTTCCGCTGATATGTCATTGAGAGACCCTCTAGACATTTGAATGCAATTGGATGAGGTCCTATTCAATGAAATTTCAAAGCTATTTATTCTGGAAGATTCTTAGAAAAATTCGATTGCAAAAGAAATCTGCAGACTTCACACGCAGGGTGTAAATCTTATGAATGGTTCAGGGAAAGCTTTTAAAGAGCTTCCTGATCCTGCAGCAGCTCCTGAAAAAGTTCAGAAGGGAAACAGGTTGAGGAAGGCAGGACTATCTCATGCCTTACCCCACCTAAGCCTACCCAGGTTGTGGGAAAGGAGCGTGTATGAGAGTGAGGGAGAAAGGGCCAGGTGGCAGAGAAGTAGGAAAAGGTGCAGTGGGGACGAGGCTGCATACACTCTGACTTTAAAAATCAGCAAGATGGGATATGCTCTCTTTATGGTTTAAAAAAAATCATATGTAAAAGGATAACAGTATATGAAATGTAGGAAGTTTCTGGAAGAGCCCTGGAGTTGATCGGGGGTTGGTCCCCACCCCAGCACTTTTGGGCCCTGAGCAGGTAGGTCGCTTGAGCTGTGCAATTCTGTCTCCTTCTGCGAAGTGAGGGGTTTAAGTGATCCCCAAGGGCACCTTCCCTGATTCTCCCTAAGGGTTGTTCCAGAGCATTAACCACCGTCCAGGAGGATAGTTTTGATGATTGACACCACTGATTTTTGTCTGAGAAATTCCCTCGCTGAACACCAGATCAATAGATTTTGTGCCTTTAACTTGTGTCGTGCATTTTGGAAGGTTCACTTGAATGTCAATAATTAAAGCAAGGAGTTGGGGAATCCACCCTGGTCTCGTGCTCTCAGAGGATGATCTCCCCTTACATAGTGTTTATCTTGCATAGAGTTTTCGCAGTGCACGTGCTCTATGCCATGTAGGTGTTCGGGTGTCACAAAATGATGGGGTGTTAATCCTGCTCTAGAAGTATGGCCAGGCTAACCTAGTCCCGTCATAGCGAACGTCCAAAAGACTCAGCACGTGATTGCCATTCCTCGTTTTCCAGAGAGCCCAATAAACACACTGCCTGTTCATTCCTCATGAGTTACTGACTTTGGATAGAGAGAACTATTGTTCCCTTTCTCCCCGCAAACACCTGGCCAGGACTTGGAATTGCGTACTCTCTAGCCAGAGTTCTGTTTTGTGTGGTAAGCTGGGGTTTTTATCTTACTTCCAATAAAATATTTGGTGCTACCAATGTTTTTTCCATGTTAAGTTACTGATGAGTGACGTGTTTGTTTTCAAATGTGAAATGTTTTATTTCATTCTTAAGACCAAAGACTTTGACGTTAAAGATGTCTTAACCCTTCTTTTCACCTTTCTTTGAAACTGCCCTAAGAAGGTTGATGTCTCTTGCTACTTGTTTAATTTCTAAATCTAATCAAATGTCTTTATATTAAGAGTTTGAACCATGTGAGTGTGTTAAATGATCAGTCACAGCCATATCCTGCTGTGTGTTTTCCAGAAAAACCCTCAGATCATGTATCTGGAGCAAGAGTTAGAAAGCCTGAAAGCTGTTTTAGACATCAAGAATGAGAAGCTGCACCAACAGGACATCAAGTTAATGAAAATGGAGAAACTGGTACATTTCATTCAGAACCTTAAACGGGGTAATACCTGAGGCACAGGAACTGGCCTCTGAACTAGACCTGTGGAACTGTCTTAATTTAAAGATAGGAAGCATAGGAGAGGTAGAAGAGGTTACATTTTCTTTTCCACGTCAGCCTAAGGCTTATTCATTGCTACCTTCTAGAACACTTTTTTCAAGGAACGTGTAAAAGGTAGCATTCAGTGTTTGGAAAAATGACAACTCGCGAGTGTCTCCCGTTTCAGTGGTCTGGGAATATCCACCTGCCTAAGAAGAATTTTTAAATAATGTAAAAGCTGTCCTTTAATACACCACCACCTCTGGGTGGGATTCTTTTGCTCAAAACTGTTGAGTACGTAAATTAATTCCATCAGAGCAGTTGAATCTTGCTATCTAAATTCTTCATCTTGCTTCATGTGAATTAGACTGTGATAAAAGAATTGCCCTTTTATAAAATTAATCTGGTTGCACAAGTAGCCAGCACTGTGCAAAATATGAATAAAGTTTAGTTTACGGCCTCTATGGCACAACTGACGTTAGCAGACGTTAGCATGTGACGAGTCCATCCAGGACTGCGTGTGTGAGCAGCGAGCCCAGTGCCATGTGAGCCCTGGTCCAGCCCTGGAACACGACTGCTAAGAGCCAGCAGTCTAGCCAAGCCTGCAGGGTTTGCCGCGGCAGCATAGGTGTTCCCAGCCAGTGCTGTACTTTGTACACCACTTTCGACTGTGCCAGGCCCCTCGCACTGCTTTGTCCCTTCTCCCCCTAATTATGGGCAACTCAGTGTTGAGTAAGTACCTCAGTTCAAACCCAAACCAGCCTTGGACAGTAGGAAGCATGGAAGTCACTCATCATTAGTTTGTTTGGTTTTTGGTGTTTGGTTTTTTTCTAGAGACTATTACCTATCAAGGGAGGTAAGAGCTAAGCCCCCATGTGGATAGATGGGCACTTTAAATGACCAGGAAGTTTTGTTTTTGTAAAGGACGGAAAGAACTCATGGTCTATTAATGGGCCCAACCTAGTATATACACCAGTTCCTGCCAAAGGTCATCCTGTTGTATCAGGTCTCATGACTGCCAATGTGGCCATCAACAATGACTCAGATAATCCTGTTAATAATTGGTTGCCCTGTATGCCATGCACACATCAAAACTCTTCAAACCATCATGTGCAGTAAGAACAGACTCTGCTGTAAAATTACTCATAGGTCTTGATCTTTGTCGATCCACAAGTATTTCTGTCCCTTGCCATGCCCAAGAGATTAGTCAGTATGGCATGGTGTATATGCAGAAGGGGTTAATACAACGACAGACAGGTAAACCCACTGTTACCTTGTTTATTTGTAAGCTCCAGGCCTTCATTGAAAATAAGACGCTTAGAAAGCAAGGAGGCTTTCTCAGTGTAAAAACTAGCTCTGCTGATAATTAGCTCTAAGAGTGAAATTCCAGGGCTAGTTTCCTCTCCAGTAAAATGAGGAATTGGATGAGATTAATATTTTAAGGCTAATTCCTACCCACAGTCTTTAATTCCAGGTTTTCCCACCTCATGTTTTTATCTTGAATTCCTTTATACTCCCTGGAAATTCCAATGCCCCCTTTTTCTGACACGCTAGTCACATTTGTTTTGGGTATTTCACTTGGTTGGCTTGTCCTAAGCTTTTTCTGGTTAATAAGATGTTAAGAACAGTAGGACTGCAAACTAAGAGCCAGAGTGACAGTAGCTTAGTCACGGGCAGCAGTGACAGGGACTTAGAATGAATTCTGACGGAGCTGTGATGTCGCCTCCGAGCAAGTAATAAAATCTTACCTTTAGAAAGTAAGCAGGGATGTAACTGGCAATTCATCGTGTTAACTGATTCAATGTCTTCTGGGCTTTTATCCTTCAATCTCTCAACTGATCAGTTTGTTTTCCTTGAAAGTTTAGCCTGGGCAAGCCCTAGGCAAACAAACGTATCTTCAGTTCAACTAAGGAGGAATGCTTTCTGTAGTGTCACTTGTTTATTTTAAGGCTCTATAGAGCTTTGTGGATTGCCTTATGTGACCACTCGGAGGTAAATGCTGAAGGGAACCGGGAGACCATGATTAAAGTCATATTAAACATTGCCACGAACTGAATTTTCATCAAATGTGGGGTTCTTTTTTTTCTTTCAGAATTTACCATAAGAAGCTGTGGTGCCTCTGATAAAGAAAACGGCTGCTAGGCAGCCAGTGTTTATCACCTTGAAACTGAAAGAGGCACAGCCCCCAAGGGTTGCCAAAGGCAGGGCACCAATTCTTGAGAATTCTAAAACAGTGTGAACAAATCACTAACCCCTTGGGTTTGTCCGTTTTCAAGTGGCCTGGCATACCTTTAAAAAGTAATATCCATGTGCTCTGTTTTGCTGCAGTAGATTCTTTTTGCAGTGCGTCAGTGTAGAGACAGTCAACATACCATTAAACTTTCCCGAATTAAATCTCTCCAGTGTGTGCTGGTGTCAGGAAGGTACCTTAGGGAAATAAGGGGCTTTATGTAATTTTTAATGTATAAATGTTGGTACTCTTGTTGACACCAAGGTGGACAACAACACAGCACTGGTGGACAAACTGAAGCGATTCCAGCAGGAGAATGAAGAATTAAAAGCTCGGATGGACAAGCACATGGCAATTTCAAGGTAAAAATAAAACTGTCCTATTTTCCCCGAGCTCCTCCCTTACTGAAACATCGAGTGTTACTTTCTCACCACACTCCACCCATGCCCCTCCTGGAAATGCAACAGAAGCGGGTAGTTAATGAGGTTCTGATTTCTATCCGGAAAAATACGATTGTAGCATTTAGTGCCATTACCACAGTGGCCTGGACCAAAGGCTGAGTCCTCAGCGGGCAAGCCTTCCCTTCCCTTTCAGAGAAAGACCACCACAAGACCAAACAGGAAACAGCCCCACACGTACGAGGGTCTTAAGACATGCAGTATAGCTGTGGGAGCGTCACTCACCCTACTATGAAATTGCCCCAAAGTGCAGCTTTTTCTTTGGCTCTAGGTCACACTTCCCGGGTTTCTCTGCCAGCCCAGTACCCATGCACAGTAGCTCCTTTTATTCCAAAGAGATCAAATTTAAAATAGTAAGATTTTTTTCAACCTTTAAAGAAAAGAAAGAAGCAAGTCAGAGTCACAGGATTTCTGGCTTTTTTTTTTTTGTCTTCCAGGCAACTTTCCACAGAGCAGGCCGTCTTGCAGGAGTCGCTGGAGAAGGAGTCCAAAGTCAACAAGCGCCTCTCCATGGAGAACGAGGAGCTGCTGTGGAAGCTGCACAACGGGGACCTGTGCAGCCCCAAGAGGTCCCCCACGTCACCCGCCATCCCCTTCCAGTCGCCGCGGAACTCCGGCTCCTTCCCCAGCCCCAGCATCTCGCCCAGATGACCTTCCTGGGAGCTGGAGACAGACTGCGTTTCTGCAGTACTGACCCACCCACAATCGTGGGGGCAGGGGCCGGGGCTGGAGCCACCTTCACTGACACGCACAGCCTGTCCTAGAACTGGAAAGTCACGGGCCGAACCGGCCCCTTCCAGACAAGACCAGAACTCTGGAGGAAGACGTCCGACTCGGTCCAGGAGACTCCTCCCCAAACGATGCTGTCGGAATGGATCTACATGGACGCTGTTGCACAAAGCACTTATGGAACGAGAAGATCTTGTTCGTTGCCTTTTTCACCTACGCATAAGGGGGAAAACTCTCAGGGGCCTGTTAAGATAAAGATTTATATAACCTTTGTAACGTTCTTCACCACAGACACCTTCTTGTGATTTACATTTTGGTCTGACTGGGGATGTGTGAATGAAGTGGATGTAACCGAGTGTCACGTGTCTGATGCTGCCTCCTTTGCTGAGTCTGTCTGGAGATGTGCTAATCAAATAGTCAGTGTATGCATCTCTGCAAAAGCCATAGAAGAAAGAGCAGTAGTTGCTAGAACTAGAATTCTTTACCACCAACCCCGCTCAGCCCTTTGCCATGGTGCGGGGGGAGAGGGAGAGACAGAAAGAGCTCTGACTTGCCCACGTCTGTTCATGCTTTGCATCCTTTCGGAGTTACTTCTTGGCAGCCTTTCAGTGTTCAGCCATGTCAGTTGAAACTAGCTAGATTTTTAAAACTTACCCATGTGGACGTAAAATACTACAATCCATTTTCTCAGGCTATGAGCAAATGTAGAACCCTAATTTTGCTTTTTAAAAAATGTGTATAAAGAAAGGGCAGTACCAATGGATTGCTTTCTGCCTTATTTTTATCTTGATCTGAGCTATCCTCAGTGATTTCAACTGGCTGCTTCTCTCCCACTATCCCCATTCCCCCCCTCTCCTTTCTCCCCCATCCAGAGCCACAAAAGCAAACCTTCTACCTCCTTCCTGCTTTTTCTCTGGGACAAGGAATATGCTTTTCCAGAGCCAGCTCATCTTCAAGGTGCTGAACCACTTTCCAAATAAACCAAGGCCTGGGTCCGATAGTATAAATTTTGGGAAGTCCTAGAGAGATTAAAGAATGAAAAAGACTCATTGGCTAGCAGAACTAAGAAAGATAGGACTCAGTGCTTATGGATGAACATGAGCACCTTGATAACAGAACAAAACAGTCTCTGGAGATAATGCTAAACTTGCCCGTACCTTTGAGGCGTCCTCCTGTCCTTGGAAAGGTAGCAGATGACCAGCTGGTGAGAGAAGAATGTGGCTTGTGCAATTCTTCTCCAATTTGCATTTCAATTTCTTTTCAAAACTTCACTCATTACCTCCCCCACTTCTAAGACTTTGGGGGAGGTGGAAGGAAGAACTGTGGCTTTTTTCTGTCTCCCTGCACGTGTCAAGCTTGTGCTGTATTTACCAATCAGCAATAATGATGTTCGATGGCTGTACAAATAAGCGCTATAGTAAGAACAGATTCAGGCTACTAGAGATGGACCTTTGAGTTGACATTTACATATACACTACAAAGCAGATTGATATTCATGATGCATGTGTTTTTTTTGTTTTACTAGTGATTGTGTCTGAAGTTTATAACCTCCAACCGTTGATTATGTGTGTAACCTTCCGTGTTTGTTTCTGATAAATGGGAACGTAGGTTCACTGCCACCTCCTGGAATCTCTCTGCTCACCTTTCCAAGTTGTTCTCAATGTCCTTAGCCAAAGTTGGGTTTGCCATCCTTTCCCTGCACATGGTCAGTCTCGGGCTGTTCCCTGCTGTGCTCCATGCCACTTAGGTGTCTGGGGAAATGATCCTTACACAGTTAATATAAAATGTCTTCAGAGAATGGGAGACAACAGGAGAGAAGATAGGAGACAAAACACAGAACTGTAAAATTATCTTCAAACCAAATGTTACCACTTAGGATGCAAAATGTTGGCACGTCATAAAAATACGGATGTGTAAACAACTGTAGTTGTGCTCAGTTTGTAGTGATGGAAAGTATTTTACTTTGATCAAATAAATAATGCTGGAATATTCAATAGAAGAATTGCATCCTCTGACATACTTCACCCTCCAAAGTGTTACCCAGTTTATAGCAGCCCTCCACTTCACCCTCCAAAGTGTTACCCAGTTTATAGGAATTGACATCGTGTCGTCTCCTTCTTAACCTATTTCCCAGGAATTTCCAGTGCAACCACAAAATTGGTCATGGGCTGAAATTTGGCTCACAGAGCTAGACTTAGAGCTTTTCTTTTCTAAATTCAAAGCTATGTGTATTTGAGAAATAAATTTTTACTGGTTTTAATAATAAGTTCCGCTGTATAAGGTAAGAAAATTGGAACAGCTACAGTCTAAATATTTTTGAAGATGGTTAAAAAAAAAAAGCCTAAACGAAGTTGAATCTTGCTTGATCTGTGCATCTATTTTATATCAAAAGTTAAACTTTTAAAAACACATGCTGTGGTTCTTATAGAATGTCTAATCTAGAACTAGTACTTTTGAGTGCAGTGGTTAAAAAGTTTACATATTTTTTGATACCTTCATATCATACAATAGTTCATGTTGTATAGTTGAACTATATTATTACTCCGTTTTTAGATTCTCATATTTTGTGGTTGTTATATCAAAGAGAATATTAGCTATTGACTCAGACATTGCTGCCCCAAAAATCCTTCTGGATGTACTTCAAGCCAACTTAAAAAACGAGCACTTAGCCCATTTTTTGTTTTTTACAAAAACTTGCTCGTTTAATAGAAATGATTATATAAAGTTGTTTACATATATGCCTTCTTAGTACAAACACTAGAAACCCATATACGTAGGTCAGCAGTCAGAATACATGCTTTCTGCTAGAATTAACACGTCTATAATTAGACCGGATGACTTCCTTTTAGTTTGGAGGTCTGGGTCTGACTCACAAGGCAGGGCCTGGCGTTTGGCACTTGACATCAGCCTCTGGCAAAGCACTAGTCAAAAGAACCCTGGAGCTGGTTGTGTACACAAGTGGGCTTTCCATCAATTCATTTATATTTCATCTTCCAAGTCAGGAAAACTCCACAGTGGTAGCTACTGAGGTCTGTCCTCGGAGATTCTGAGCGGTGCAAATGTAATAACCTGCGTCAACCATCTCAAAGTCTTCAACAATCAGGACGCTCTGGGAGATCCTCGTGGTGTGGCCCAGTCCTCTGTGGATCAGCCGCCAAGTGTCTTGAATCGTCACGGGCCTTTCATCCTGTTGAACGACACCCACCGGGGCTGAAGCACAAACCACAAGCTGCTGTAAACAGCTCCTATTCATCCTCTGCAAAGTGCAAAACACATGCTTCTAAAAGACTATTTGGTATGCGCAGCTCAACACTGTCTAGTCAGTTTAGGCTGCATTTTTTCCAAGCAGTCTTGAATTTCATTATGCTGTTTGGCTTTCACTTTCTGCCCTTTTTTTTTTTTTTTTTTTTTTTTGGGTTTGGAGTATAACTGCTTTAAAAAGGTGTGTTAGTTTCTGCTTTATATTAAAGTGAATCAGTTATACATATATATATATCCCCATATCTCTTCCATTTTGCGTCTACCTCCCTCCCACCCTCCTTATCTCACCCCTCTAGGTGGTCACAAAACACCAAGTTGATTTCCCTGTGCTATGCAGCTGCTTGCCACTAACTATCTATTTTACATTTGGTAGTGTATAAATGTCCATGTCCCGTGTCCCCTGCATCGGCAGGCGGACTCTCAACCACTGTGCCACCAGGGAAGCCCTCTTTCTGCCCTTTTCATCAATGTTTCTAGTTAATATAAATTTTATTCTTTTGGAACTCCAAGAATGTGGGACTGGTATTAGGCATAAGAATACAGATAAAATTTTCCACTGCTCTCCTGTTGACACTCCCCACGTTCACCCCTTTGCGCAGTGGTTCTTATTCACAGAACTTAAAGTCAAAAAGAAGCCCGAAGCACTCACCGTGTAAATGAATACAAGCCCCTAATTGTTCAGACTGCGAGAGGGAGACGTAAGATCAGTCAAATGTGCCACAGGACTACAGTGGGAGAGAAGTTGTACCGAGGATGGATAATGTGACACCCTAGGTGACTTAACTTCGTATTTCTAGAAAGTGAGATGGTCACTTTTGAGATGCTTCTTCCAACTTTGGTGATAAGTAGTGTTTTCTGGATTAGTTTAACATAACTGTAATATTTATAGTATTACTAAATTAATACCCTTTCTGCTAATTAGCAACGTAAAAAAAAAACCCACCTCTAATGAAAATTATTAATGTCTTCTAAATGGAAAAACACTTTTTAAAAACAAGTACCTAGTACTAGAAAAGTACCATTCTCCAGGGGGAGTTATTTTCCACCAATCACAGCCCTTAAACCAGAAGTGTATTGGCTACCGAGTGAGTACATCTTAGGAGGCCAAATCTCTTCTGGCAACAAAGGGATTTTTCCATGTTGGTAGCAAAGCTGTTTATTTTTGTGAGCAGAACAGGCCCAGAGGCTACATGTGCTGGAGTTGTTTTTATGGGAAGTCTATTTTAAAATGATCTCGGCCTCACAGCACCTTTTTGAAGGCCTGGATTTATATGCCTACTTGGTGGTTGTCTACTTTGAGCTCCTTGCTCTGGGGCCCAGCTTTTATAGGGGAGAATACTGAAGGATTCCAGAAGGAGGTTAGATTGGCCTCCAATCGACCCAGAATTCAGATTGAAGATTGAGGTTGCAGGTGAAGGAAGGAGGCCCTCCTTTCCTGTTCATGCCCTGTCCCCTTCCTTAAGGGTCATGAAGAAAAATAACATGAAGAGAGTACATTGACTGAATTGCCTAATGGAACCCAGTCACTTTTTTCCTGTCCTTTAAAAAAAGCCATTTGTAAATATACTGAAACATCTTAGGAGAAAACAAGTGAGCCTTAGCCCTACCATAGCTGCACACGTCTCCCATACGTCTTTGAGTTACAGTCCGTATCAGTGAGTTGGGGG